CCCCCCCCCCCCCCGCCCTCACTACCACCACATAGAGTCCTCATTAGATTGGCATGAATTATGACTAATCTCTTTGCATTGGTGGAGAGCTCAAGACTTTGGCGAATTGCCCCAGTGTTTTTTTCCAACAGAACTGCAATCAAAGGCAGATCATTATCAACGTCTCCAGTATCATCTATTTCAGAAGGAAGCTGAAGGTCATTGAAATGAATGTTGGAGAGACTTCAAGACCATCTTGGACGCGCTGCTTTAAATTTTGACTTTGATCAACTAGACAGAGTAAGTGTACTGGTATATTATGGGAGGCGATGAAGCGAGCAAGAACAAAGAGTTGATTGAGATAGCTATACTCAAGAAATGGCACCAAGGTCACACTCTCTTCATTGTCTGATGAGTTAGTAGCCATTGGAATTGAAGGAGAAGAACTGAGAAGAGAAATGAATAACTTACAATAAGCTTAGGACTTAACAAGGTAAAATGCTACTCCCTCTTATAGTCACAAAAATATCAAAGCATGTGTAACTTTGGGATGATCCAAGAGGAAGTAATTGCTTAATATTTTCAAGCATAATACATAAACATGACCCTTAACTTGGCTTTAGCGGATAACTATGTCCTCCAACTTTGAGTGTGCACAAGTAGACACTTAAACTTGTATAAAATTGAACAAGTAGACACACGTGTCCTACATGGCATAATACATGTAGGATGCCACATAGGACACAAAATTGTCATGAGGGTGCCATGTAGGACGAATGTGTCTATTTGATCAATTTTATACAAGTTTAAGTGTCTACTTGTGCACACCCAAAGTTAAAGGTCATAGTTGCCGGTTGTTGCCAAGTTAAGGGTCTGTTTATGTATTATTCAGGATACCACAAGATTGAACTGCCACTCATGCCTCTCCCACATCAAGTTGACTGTCCCGCCTTATGTAGTGTTACTCGGCCATCAACTTCAAGGATCCCAACAACAAAGCTTTATGTTCGTAATGTTTGTACCAAATGCAGGCCATTGTACAGACAGTTCAGAATCAGCCCAATAAGGATAAATCAGTGGCTCAAGTTTCAGCTGGTGTTTCCTGGTATGCCTCACAAATCTACTTGTTTTGAACAATGAACAATATGTTTCATTTTTTTTTTTGGAAGGACCAATAGGTTATTTTGCGCGGACTCTCCAAAAATGCTGCAACACCAGTGCTGGATCCTCCAAAAATTCACTACTTTTGGAGGATCCAACACACACCTATCAATATCGTTGAAGAGTCTAAGCAACATAGCAACAACAACATACCCAGTGTAATTCCACAAGTGGGGTCTGTGGAGGGTAAAGCATACTCAGTCCTTGGGAGGTAGTGAGGGCCTTTTCCGATAGACCCTTGGCTCAAGGAAAATGGAAATATTAACCCCACTATCTTCATCAGTCTCCATTAGCAATCAACGCAAGGGGAGATCATTTAGTACAAGGGATCAAGCCAATCTATGTTTTTTTAAGCTAATAATGTTGGGTTTTTAAAAGATGGGGAGCAAAAAAGGATTGAAAATATCTCTCAATGGATTGAAACGACTTTCAATAATTTTATTAAGCATTGAACGGCTTTAAATAGCCACCACAAATACATAATCTGCATAATTTGAAATTCAACAACTCAACAAATTCATCTCAAACTAAATAACTTATTTTGCGAATACAGTAACTAAAAGCAAATTTCAACAGTGAAGTTATTCAATAATATGTGATATGAAAGATTCCATATCCTTGCGTGCAAGTCCTCCGCTTCTAACAGAGTTTTTGATCTGTTTGCTCAATTCCACTGCCCTTTGCCTCATCTCTTCCCCTTCTATCGTACCCATCAATGTCTTGACAGATTTCTCAATGGTTGATGCTGTTATCACTTCATTCCGGTGAGACCAACTCTTGACAGAGATTCCAATCTTCAACAAATTGGTTAAAAATATAGCGTTAAATGGCTGATCGAAACTGATTGGCCATGTTGCTACAGGTACTCCCATGCTAATGCTCTCGATACAAGAATTCCATCCACAGTGACTCATAAACCCACCCGTCGATGAATGCCCCAAGATTTCCAACTGTGGTGCCCAATTAACCATTATTCCTCTTCCTTCCACTCTCTCTTCAAACCCTTCGGGTAATTCAATCTTTACGTCTTTCTCTTTAAGTTTCTCTGCATTATCTCCTTTTCTTAGTACCCAAATAAATCTATGGTTGCTTTGTTCTAAACCCAGAGCGATCTCATTGACTTGCTCTTGTGATAATGTAGTGGTTGATCCAAACGAGACGAATATTACTGAGTTAACATCTTGCTTGTCGAGAAATTCTAGGCATTGATCATGACGAGTGATGTTGCTAGACGAATAAGAGTGTGATTCTAGGCAACATATGAAATGGACCAAAAGCCCATAACGGCTTGTCTTTTGCTTTGGCAAGTAACTCTGGGTACCTACCTTCCACTTCTTTACACGAATTTATGATTTCTCCTGAGTATTGCATCTCCATATCATCAAGCTCCATTTGAAAACAATATTTCTCATGTGGTTCCAACATTGGAAACTCATCCTGCATTTGCTTGATTAATTTTTCATGATCATCGTCATCGTCAACTATGTCAGGAATAGTTTGTTTGAAGGAAGAATATCTGCTAAAAGTCGATCCGGTGTGGAAGATATAAGACTTGAATTATATTTACATTCAATATTTGTCTACTCATTATAAGATCATGAATTATGACTAATCTTTTTGCATTAGTTGAGAGTTTAAGACATATTTCATAAATGGAGTTGTTGAGTTTTTCCAGGAACATTAGAATCGGAGGCTCTCCATCGCGATCATCTTTTTCTGTTGGAGATGAAGGTCTCAATAGGTTGTCGAAATGGATGTTTGAGGCCCTTACATCATCTTGAACGCGAAGTTTCAAATCTTTATTCTCATCAGCAAAACAGAGGAAGTGTACTTGTATATTATGGGACGCGATGAAACGAGCAAGAACAAAGAGCTGATTGAGATGGCTGTAATCAGGAAATGGCACCATGGCCACAATCACTTCATTGATAGCAGCCATTGCAACAAAAAGAGAACAACTTTGTGAAAATTGAGTTTTGGAAGGGATACTAATTAATACTAGGGACAATATAGAGAAAGAAAGACTATTGGTAAATTTATAACCATTGGCACATTTTGCGAAGTCTTGTTTAATTCATAAATACGTGTAATTTCATTTTCAACTGAGATCGTCCTTTGATGGAAAATAGATATATTTTTATTAGTTGGAATGACCTTTTCTAACTTTCAATTTTATTAATTATTTTTAAATAGGTTAATTGTATAAATATTTACGTTCGTATTATCCCACCTAAAAAAGTTGATGCCATATTGATCGATCGATAAAAATGACTTTACACGCTTCTTAAAAAATATAGTAAGTAATATGAATGATTTTTGTACCGACAACTTAGCTTAGGACCAACCAACGAAGATAAGGTATACAATGAATATTGCACCTAACTATATGATGCACCATGCCACTCTTTTCATGAACATTTATAATAAAAGATATGGTGTGATATGTAGATCTAGGATAAGTTAATTAAATATTATCCTCGTTTTATATTACTTAATTTATATAACTAATATTTTCATATATAAATAAATAATGATACTTTTCTTTTGAACCAAGGGTCTGTCAGAAATATCTTTTCTGCTTCACAAAGGTGGGGTATGTTTTTCTTTTTTCAGACGCTACTTGTAAAATTACAATGAGTATGTTATTGTAATCAAAATTTGTGATGCTAAGTGTTCCGTTATGAGCAAAATGTGTGATGTATGTGTTAAGTGCATGTAGTGATTTTAAACCTTGCAAGGACTTAAAACTTGTTATTTAAGTGGAAAGGGTGGTGGGGTCGACTCATTATTCGTTGAGCTTCTAGCTCCACACCTACCAACCTTTGCGGAATTCTTTTGGAGGACAAACCGTCTTTAATCCTCGAGAGTAGTATATAAGAATCTTGTTCAATTACTAAACACGTGCAGTTCTATTTTCAATTGAGATTACCTTTTGATGCAAAATGTATTTTTGTTGATGAGAGAAACGAGACTGAGATACTTTGAACGTGCGAATAGGAGGTGTGTGGATGTACATGTACTACTAAGGAGGTGTAAGAGTAAGCCAAAGTAGTTGAGTGTTGTCATACTTTCATGTGGGATAGGTAAGGCATAAGTCCCTTCTTGTTGCTTCATTTGCTCCGTGTATCTTGTCATTTTATTGTCGTTCTTTTCCTTTTTATCTTGTTTTGTCTACATTTCTTTTGAGATGAAGATCTATCGAAATCAATTTATCTATCCCGCAAAGGTAGGGTATGGTCTGCGTACATCCTTCGCTCCCAGACCTCACTTGTAGAATTACACAAAATAATTATCTTCCAATTTTCATTTGCTTTAGCTAATTATCTTTTAAATAACTTGAGGATAATATAGAAAAAAGAAGAAGACAATTCAACCATTTATAACCAATGAAATTTTGAAGCAGCTTTAGGAGTGCGAAGTTGGATTATTATTTTATCCCTATATTAAATTAAAATCATATATTACTAAGCATTTAATTACTAATGAAATATTAAAAAGTAATATATCATATTATACTAAATACTAAATATAAATAATAAAAGTGGAAATATATTAAGTCAAAAGTTTGAAAGATGGAAAGCTCCCTAATTGAAAGATCGATCAGAAAAAAATACCCTTTAAATAATATTCCCTCCGTTTCATTTTATGTGACACCGTTTGACTTGACACGGTTTTTTTTTTAAAAAAGATTTTTTTTGAAACTTATGGTCTAAAACAATCCATAGATATTTGTGTGGTTGAAAGTCATTTCATTAAAGATAAAAGGGATATTTTAAAGTTAAATTATTTTTAACTAGTAAAATTACCCGCGCTTCGCGCATGAATTTCCTATCATGGAATTTATAAAATAATACTTAAAACCTACCAGTCATTAAAATTAAAACACTATATTATCTTACATACAAGATTACGTAGTAACAAACATTAATATTGTAAAGGAAAATGAAAATGATTACATCTTATCATTTATCCTTAATAACATAAGCATAAATTAATGACTTTAAAACTACATACCAGGATTTGTAACATAAGCAATAGTGTCAGCGAGCCACTCAACATAAGCAAAATACACAAATATTTAATTGTGAAGAAGAAGAAGAAGAAGAAGAATAGGTTCAGAATTTTCGTTTGTTTTAAAATGAGAGGAAATTCCTTTATTTATAGACAACAAAGGGTAGTGTGAACCAATGTTTATTGTGCCTTATCGGAAAGGTTACAACTATTTGAAAAAGTTGCAACCCTTCAGAAAGGTTACAACCTTTCATAAAAGTCACAACTTTTCATAAAAGTCGCTACTCTTCACTAAAGTCGCAACTTTTCATTAAAATCGCAACTTTTCATTAAAATCACAACTTTTCATTAAAGTCACAACTCTTCATAAAAGTCGCAACTTTTCATAAAAGTCGCAACTCTTCATTAAAGTCGCAACGTTTCATAAAAGTCTCAACTTTTCATGAAAGGGGAATGCTAATTTTGTAAATAAATAAATTAAAAGGGAATTCTGGTTTGTGGTGGCGCCACGTAGACTGGCCTAAGCTTCTCTTTTATATATATATATATATATGATTATAGTAAAATGACATTTTTTTGGAACGGATAAAAAATAAAAAGGTGCCACGCAAAATGGGACGGAAGGAGTGGTTGACTTAGTTAGCCCCTCATCCTAAATCAATACTCTACACGTTGGAATATAATAACTATAGCCACCCCCACCAAATTCTAATAACCAAAACCCCACATTTCTTGTCTGTATTAACGTAGAATGATAAATACTAATAATTATGATAATTTTAATAACCAAAACCCCACATATCTTGTCTGCATTAAAATAGAATGATAAATACTAATAATTGTTATAATTTTAATAACCAAAACCCCACAATTCTTGTCTGCATTAAAATAGAATAATAAATACTAATAATTGTTATGGTAAGTGATATTTCCTCTGTTCAATAATACTTTTTTATTATTGATTTTATACATTTCTTAAGAAACTATAAATAGAAGGATAATTTTACTTATCATCTTTTGAATATAATAAATACAATGTCTTAAAATATAATAATAGGAAAATGACTATAATTAATGACGGAGGTAAATTAGGAACTAAGTGTAAAATTATACATTAATTTTATAAAGTGGACAAATATTATATTAAAATAGTATAGTGAACAATTATGATTGAACGGACGGAGTATAAGGTTTAACTTTTTTTTATATACTTGCAATGTAGAGAATCTTTACACTATTACAATAAAGATCATTGAAAAGATAACTAAAACTATTTACATTAATAAGTAAAATTAATAACCTGAAAAAAAGATAAGGTAGACAACATATTACAACAAATTAAATTGTATTAATTGTGTAAAAACTTAATTGTTGACATCCAATTTTGACCCTCCCCGATAGGAATTAATAGCAGCCATTGCAACAAAAAGAGAAGAACTTTGTGAAAATTGAGTTTTGGAAGGATATACTAATTAATACTAAGGACAATATAGAAAAAATAAATAGACTATGGTAAATTTATAACCATTGGAATTTTTGAACACATTTTGCGAACTCTTGTTTAATTCATAAATACGTGTAATTTCATTTTGAACTGAGATCGTCCTTTTGATGGAAAATATATATATTTTTATTAGTTGGAACTTGGAATGACCTTTTCTAACTTTCAAGTTTATTAATTATTTTTAAATAGGTTAATTGTATAAATATTTACGTTCGTATTATCCCACCTAAAAAAGTTGATGCCACATTGATCGATCGATAAAAATGACTTTACACGCTTCTTAAAAATATAGTAATTAATATGAATGATTTTTGTACCGACAACTTAGCTTAGGACCAACCAAAGAAGATAAGGTACAATGAATTTTTCACCTAACTATATGATGCACCATGCCACTCTTTTCATGAACATTTATAATAAAAGATAGGCCAAACACATATACAACTCCTCTAACTTGCCCTCATTTTTTATTTTGGCACTCCAACTTAGCATTGTTCCATTTTAACCCTTAAACTCCAATTTTTTATGTACCATTTTAACACGAAATACTATTTTTTATGATTTTCTTTATTTTTATATATATTCTTCAATTGAAACTTCTTATTTTAAATCGACATGTGTCAGTGAATTTTAGTTAAAAAAAATAAAAATTAACAAAAAAAAATTCTTTTTAAAAACTAATAATTTCTTTTTAAGAGTTTTATGTATTTTTATGTGAAAAATAACCGACGAAATTGTATTGGTTTTCTTTCTTAAAAATCACCGACAATCTAACAAATTAAAGTCAGTCGAGTTTTAACATTTTTTTGTAGTGTTATTAGCAATGCACAAGAGACTTTTTTACTCATATTGAAGATGAGTTTTTTTATTCGTATTGATTTATATTAAAAATAAAAAGTGAGTATTTGCGTTAAATTTAGATAGCCTAGATGATAAGAAATAATAAATAAGTAGTGTTATTTAATTTAATTGAATGTTTAAGAAAGAAAATCAAAGAACTTTCGTCAATTTACTTTCATGCAAAAATACAGAGAAATCTCAAAAATAATATTATTGTTTGAAATTTTTTTATGTTCGTTCGACAAATGTTTAATTTTTTTACGAAAATTAACAGACACACATCTATTTTTTTTAAAATAAAAAATTGCAATTGAAGAACATAAATAAAAAAATATCATAAAAATTAGTATTAGTGTTTAAATGGTACAGAAAAAATGGAGTTTAAGGGTTAAAATGGAATAAGGCTAAGTTGGAGTGCCAAAATGAAAAATGAGGGCAAGTTTTGAGGGGTTGTGTATGTGTTTGGCCTAAAAGATATGGTGTGATATGTAGATCTAGGATAAGTTAATTAAATATTAACTTCGTTTTATATTACTTAATTTATATAAATAATATTTTCATAAATAAATAAATAATGATACTTT